GCAATATAACCCTCGCCTAACGGCTCGGTTTATATTTACAAATAGCCGTTTATATAGGGCCATATAACCTGTCAACGATCTTTATAACTAATAATATATATCCTAATGGGTAATGATATTATTTAAGCCTTTTCTATTTAATTACTTTTAATTTATCAGTTAATAGTTACTTAAATTAGTCTAAATATTTATGATTACTTGTCTTACATATCAATAATAAGTTTTATTTGATTGGCGAGAATCTGTGGGGTCATTCAATAACATTCAGCAGTTCATACGGAAACGCTCCGTCTATTCATACAGTAAAATTAGCCGTTTTTGTATTAATAATACAATTGTTTTACTTATACTTATAATTTCATCTTTAAGCCTGTTTTTCATCACAAGCGAGAAAAATCTTGAAATTCGAGGATATCAGCCTCAAGCGACGCTTGCTCTTTTTAAGCTGTGTTATCTTAACGCTTTTAAAACATGTATTAGCCTTAAGGGTATAGTTACATTTATATACTTTGTGATTCTCATAGTTATGTATTATTATAATCCGGGGGTCAAAAAATTTACTGATCATAAACGTAAAGTAATTTTGTTAAGTGGAAAAGGTAAAGAATACGGTTTGGTATGTTACAGTCCATTTATACTATTGTGTTATCTATTATGTTCTATTCACTTAAGTTATTTTTGCACAAATCTTAAAACTTTCTGGAGATGTAGAATCAAACCAGGTCCTATTTTTAGCAAGGAAAATTGTCTGTCAATTATTCACCAAAACCATTAGAAGCATAACGCCATAAATTTGAGTATATTAAGGTAAATTTTTTTAGAAACTGATGTGTTATGTTTTACTGAGACCAAATTAGATTCTAATATCGAAGATAAAGAATTACAATTATCGGGTTTTGATTTCAATGTTTCGTAAAGATAAGTCGTGCCTCTCGGGAGGGATTCTTGTTTACGTTTCGTGTTTTTTTTAGACCTAGCGAGTTATCTCATTTGAAAACATAGTTCCTGATTCTATTTGGATTGAAATAAAAGATAAAACTCAGACTTATTTATTATGTAACATTATATAGACCTCCTCACTATAGAGTAGACTTTTGGGACAAATTAAACCGTGCTTAGAAATGGCTCTGGAAACACAAACAACACTTAATATTAGTAGGAGATGTAAATGAAGATCAGCTCAACATGCAAAATCATAAATTTAAAAGATATACTTTTGACAAATAAACATGAAAAATATTATTAACATCCCGACAAGGGTAAACCATAATTCGCAAACTCTCTCGACCCTATCGCATTAACAAACAATATTTCAAGTTTTTGATTCAGGAGTTTTTGAAACAGATAATGAAATAAGTGACATTATAGAACATTTGCTTATTTAAAGGTTAATTTCGATTTAAATAAAGCCATTTAAACGAAAATTTGGAACTATAAAAATGCCAGATTTTGTTAAACTGAATAATTTAATAAGAGATACTGACTGGACTTTTATTGATAATTTTAAATATAAATGAAGCTTTGCAATACTTTTACATTAAAATTCATGGATTTAGTTATTCAGTGTATCCGTTTTTTTATTTTGCATTAATTAGGCCAAAAGATAAGCCATGGTTTAACAGTAATATTCGTAAAAGTTTAAGACAGAGAGACAGATTATTTCACAAAGCAATAAATAGTAATAAAACATCAGATTGGACTAAAATATAAACAAATTCGGAAACAAAGTAAACAATATGAAGAAAAAACGCAAAAGAGTTATTTTACAATAGTTTAGAATTTTCCTTGCATGATCTTAATAGCTCAAACCCTCGACAATATTGGAAAAAAGTTAAAATGTTAGTTAAGAATAATTCAGCTAAAAACGATTCTATAGCCACCTTTAAGAAATAATAATAAACACATTTCTCCTTATCAGACTTAGACAAAGCCAATATTTTAAACTCTTTCTTCAGTTCAATCTCTCAGTTGGGTGATTCACATACCCAACTTCCAGACTTTAGTTTCAAAAACAAACTCAAAATTAGAAGACTTTAATAGTTGTGAACAAGAAATAAAAGATGTATTAACAAATTTAGTTATAAATAAAGCTTCTGGACCAGACGAAATAAGCCATAAAATGTTGAAAGAAACTTCGGAAACCTTATGTATTCCACTGTGTATACTTTTTAATCATTCGTTAAATGAAGGGTTACTATCCTAGCAGTTGGAAAACTTGCAACATGTTATGCCTCTTTTTAAAAAGGGTAATAAAGATGAACCATCTAATTATAGACCAATTTCATTAATAAGCTATGTTGGTAAAGTAATGGGAACGCATATTTTTAAACATATGTATAATTATATCCATACAAATTCTTTAATATATCAAAATCAATCTGGGTTTTTGCCAGGTCATTCTACAGAGTATCAACTTATTGATATATATAACCAAATTTGCAAAGCTTTTGACAGCAAAGAATTACTTGTATTATTATTTTTTGTGACATTTCGAAAGCATTCGATAGAGTTTGGCATTCTGGTCTCATCTTCAAAGTAAAGCAATACGGTATATAAGGGAAAACTAAATACATGGTTTAAAAGACTACTTAAATAACAGAACCCAAAAAGTTTTTTGTATCTTCGACATTTTCTTCTTTATCAACTCTAGAAGGGGGCGTCCCTCAAGGCTCGGTACTTGGTCCTTTATTATTTTTTAATTTATGTCAATGATCATAGCAGACTCGCTCTAAAGTATTACTAGACTTTTCGCAGACGACAGTTCTCTTTCTGTGTCCTCAAAAAAACATAACCTTTATGGAAGCAACGTTAAACAGGGATCTAGCGACAATAACAAGTTGGTCTAAGCAATGGTTAGTCAATTTCAATCCGGCAAAAACTGAAGCAGTGTTTTTTTCTTTTTTTAAATGATCAAACCAAAATTATTCTTCGATAATGTACAACTCAATTTTGTCAAACATCATAAACATCTTGGGGTCACATTTAGTCAAGATGGGTCTTGCCATCAACATATATATTCTAACATAGTATCTAAGGCCTCTAAAATACTCGGTTCCATGGAAATGCTCAAATTCAAAATTAAAAGAGAATCACTTAATAATATATATGTATCATATTTACGTCCACATTTAGAATACGCGTCTTTAGTCTGGGATAACTGTGCGCAATACGAGAAAAGAAACATTAGAAAAAAATCAATATGAAGCTGCCCGTGATTGATTTACAGGAATTGACAAGATCCGTTACTATACAAAAATTTATTACAGAAATAGGCTGGGTTTCGCTTTCAGATAGGGGACATATTCAAAAATTAGTTTTTTAATATACAAAGCAAAAAACAATTTATTACAACTTTATTTAATACAATTATTTCCCCATCTGTACAATATGCACATGAAAACCCATATTTCTTTAAGAAACAATCAAGACTACGCATCAATTGTCAGATAGAACAGAAATTTTTATTCGAATTCCGTTTTACCATCAGCACTACAACTATGGAATAAACTTCCAATTAATATACGTGAATCAGAATCCTCCATTCCTTTAAAGCAAATATTAAAAAAAAATTCAAATCCCCATCGGTCACTTCTTTTTCCATTAAAAGGTGAAACGGCTCTCTAACTGTACCATCATAACACTCGTTTAAGAAATAATTCCAGTAAAACCTTAATTTTCGGATTAATATGAATAATCACATTGTTTTAAAGTCCATCTTGTATATGTGGAAGCAACATTTGAAAAATTCAAGAACAATCTGTATATTTTTTAAAAGGCAATTTAAAACAGGAACAAAGAAGAACATTGTTTTTAAATAACAAGAATCTTTCATTCCTCTTTAGTGTAACGAAAAACTTTTGTTTGGATAGAAGGGCGATCTGAATCCGAAAATGAAAATTCTTTTTAAAGAAGTACAAGACTTTTTATTAAATAAAGCAAGAGAAATTTAATTGAATAAAATCAAAAATTTTTAACTGCTTGAAAACAGTAAACTTTAAAATTAAGCAAAGGGTTTTGTTGTGTGGGTGAATATTTATTTATTTATTTATTTATTTAATAGTATTTTTTTTCTTCAATTTTTGTAACAAATACAATAATTTTGTTATTTCATTCTATTATTTATTCCTTTTTTCTCAAAATTTGATACTGTAGAACACGTAATTCAAAAGCTATAAATGGAACACTATTGACTTTTTGAAACTTATACTTTTATACATTTAAAATATTTAAATTAAACTTAATCTTAATCACTGTTAGTATTCATAATTTTATTATAATGCTTAATCTATTTTTCTATTTATATAATATATATATATTATATAATATATATATATTATATATATATTATATATATATATATATATATATATATATTATATATATATATATATATTATATTTTCTCTGTTAAATGTTCATTTGATTAATTTATATTTACATATAAAAAACATTTGTTAAAATTAGTTCATGAAAATTAGTTCCTGAAAATTACTTAAAACTGAAATTGATAATTATTTGATATCACACAACTAGTATAAAGTATATAGTATATAAGTTCAAATAGTATAAACTTATTTCTGACTAACCTCAAAGGGAAGGGCCCACGATAATGTTGTTAAGAACTTTAGCCCAACCCTTTGTATGTACACTTGATTATGTCTGTAAAAATTATGAAAATTGTATATTGTGTGTATATTTATACAATAAAATATTATTAAACTTAAGGGGCTAAGACCCCCCCCCACCCCCCCCCCCCCCCCTATTTGACAGGTCTTTGCTTTACTGAATAAGCAAACTCGATGAACTGAGGATAATAAAACATTTATCGAAAAATATGTTCTAAACCGTTACTTTATAAAATTTTTTAAAAAAATTAATTTTATTATAAAATATTTAAAGGTTGAATGTTGAAAAAAATAAACAAAAATTTAACAATAAAATAAGAAAAATGGCCTTATTTGAATAACGTATAGTTTTGTATTATTTAAGTATTACTCAGACCTTGATCATACATAAGGTGATGTGCAGCCTCTGTTGGCAGAATGGTATACTTCTTCATAACATTATCATCCATAAGTGCTGACCCTCTAAACATAGAGAAACATCCGGGACTGCAAAGTACACACCCAAGAACATGCTCCGTCGCTTTTTGTAGCCAGTGAGCGATAGCGTACTCGAACTTTTGAAACCAAACTACAGGCCCTTTAACACAAAAGCATTAAAATAAATTTGTATGCTAATAAAAATTGAACATGTGAAGTCTTTCATTATATCTAAATAAATTATATACTAAACAATATTTGTACAACGTGGCATATGCTTCTGATATCAAATCAATCTTGCACGACCAGTTGACTCCGAAACATCTTGAGGACTTGACAAAATATGATAAAGGTTTAACTAAATTAGTATTAAGTTGTGTTATCTTGACGATTGTCCGATCGTCTAGAGAGGATACAAAAACTGGAAAAAATGTTATACCGCTTTACAAATCAGAATCATTATAACGAATACTCATTAGCCGTTTGTTTTGTTCAACACTCCGGCAAAAATTAAAAGCTTATTTCATACCTTTTCCAATGGGATGTATTCTACCACAAGCAGCACCAACCTTGTCACTTTTTCTCATCCTGTCAAGAAGCAGGCGGACAGCACCAGGTGAGAAGTCTACGTCACCATCTAGTGCCAACAGAAACGTGTTTTGTGCCTAGAGTAAATTGATAATTAGGCTGAAATAAGGTTTATTATATACCTTTGCCGCTTTCTCGACACCGTAACAATGGTATATTACACTAACGCATTTTTGTGTTGACGTCAACATAGTTTAAATTCGTGTTAAATGTTTGAGTTTCACAATGAGCGCGTCAGTGTAATCATTCTTTTATTTTTACTGTTAATAATACTCATTTTATTAATGCGGATAGTATGTAAGAAAATATCATTCGTGTAGAAACTTTACAAACTTTATTGAACTTGTTGAATTTTTCTTTTATAATTTGTTAAAGATACAGTATTAAGTATTGGACATAAACTCTATTTAAAGTTATTTAATTGATTGGTTTTATGTCATATATCATATCATAATATTTCATATCAATTTCTGCTTTTTTATACGATTATTTCAAACTATAAGAACAAAAAGTAAAAATGTACCTTTTTAAGAACTTGGTCATCGAACGCCTGGAATATATGACTTCTGCCAATTGATGGGCCAGGTGCACTTCCAGGTTCCCATTGAATTAAATCACTTATTTTCCCTGCGTTCAGTGCTGCTGTAACCGTTTCGTCACACATTCTTACGATCCGAAAACCCAACAAATAGTACATGTACATGACCTTGATAACAAGTAAAGAACAAGACTTATTTCTGATGTAAATCTACTTTTATGTCAGTTTGCAATAAATCGTTTCTGTTTAACAAAATTTAGACATAACTCGGCGTTGGTTCCACTTGACTTAATTCTTTGATAACTAACCAGACATTACCAGTTTCTCTACAACTTACCTACAAAATTTAAAATCAAACCAAATCTCGTAAGTTCCTAATCTGCGGCGAGAGACAAATGTCCATAACACTGAATCATACAAAAACAATGAAACTAAAAAGCATGCCGAACAACATACTTACCTGGGACCAACGCTTCTTATGCCTTATTTTATGTTTGTCTTTCAGATGAATGAAAAGGAAATTTCCTCCTGGCATTATATATATGACTTGTCCGCCGTATGGGGTAGGAACTTTGTAAGGTGCCTTTATTTTCATAGATTGTTCATGTACACAGCTAAAATAAAATATCAGTACAATTAATAAGTAATTTATGAAAAAGATAGCATGTGCAAGCATTACATACATAAAACTAAATCACATTAACGTTTCTCGTTTGATTTTCTTTCCTAACAAAAACGATGTGTGTAGATGCATAAAATGACTCTTCCTATTATAATGCAGCAACAATTTTTATGTCCAAGATGTTTCTCATGATTATCTTTTACGAGTAACTTGTAGTGAAATTACCTGGCAGCTTCCTCCATAATGGTTGCCAATAACTTTACATATTCATTTGGAACAAATTCGTTATTATCATCTATAGCCATTGCATCATCAAACAGAATGTGTGCTACAGTATTAAAAAATAAGATATGTTACAAATAATTTATTAGCCGAGTCTTAAATGGAAGAGTTAATTTAATTTGATTTAACTTTTTGGCGTGTCATGGTCTTGTCATACATTTTTTGTTTTATAAGTCAGTCAGATATTTTGTAATTGATTGTTCCATGATTCAGTGTTACGGTTTGTCTATTTAATTTTTGTTTGATATCTCTTCTGTCTTCTCTGTTTATATGTCGATACTAAAATGTATTTTCAATTAGTCAAATCTGTTATTTTCATGCTTTGGTCACATGCATTATCTTGATTCAGAATATTGAAATAGTTTCAACAGCAACGTCGTTTAACAGCACAAATACTAACCAGTTTGTAATAGAAATAAAAACACTAAATTAAAATGTCACAGTAAAAAAAGGTTTCACAATCGTTTCCGTTGGAATATAATTATTATAATGTCTGCTAACTTTTATAGATTCTTAATTGTTGTCGTACAGCAGTTTAAAGAGGACAATAGTCTGTATAAATCAAAACTGTTAAACGAACCGAGCCTGAAGTGTTGTGTTTGATTGCCCTTTTAAGTTATAAGCTAACTCTTCTTAAAATTTACAACTGGTCGAGTTAGCTCATGTTTAGACTCGCTTTAGTTCGCTTTAAATTTTGATTCAGCAATGATACAACTTTATATGCTGCAAGTTATTTTGATATCTTGGTAATTTCACCCGAGTATAACAATTTCCTTTAAAAAAAAGACTGGCCTTCAACGATTGATTACAATTTAAAGACATGCAAATAAGAGGTTAAACATTAACACACATCTACTTTCATATCTTGAAACAAAGCTTTCCTTTGGAAACATTAAAAATAGCACAATTACATGAAAATTGCAGATTCGCTTTGATTGAATCTGTACATGAGAGATAATGAAAAAAAGTACAACACTTAAGAGTGATTGATCCAATGAACCCGAAAGACCATTAAAAATTAACAATTAAGTTTGGGACAACATTTTACAGCTGCCACACGGCAGTTGACACCTGCTGTTGTGATGTATAAATAAATGGAAAAAATAATCCCTCAGAAGCATTGAGAACAACATTATTACATGAAAACAAGAGCGATCAGTGATAACATGTGTCGCTTCATGATGGCCAATTTCATGTTGGGACAAGTTTTGTGACAGACGGACAGACAGAAAGACAGTCCACATCTAGACTTGGTACTGATCATGCCTGTAAAGTTTGGATAAAATTGCACCAGTAGTTTATGAGGAGTAATCCGGACAAGCTTTTGTGTATCTGGCAACACACAGAAAAAAAACACCTTTTCATCAAAGGGCCATAACTCGGCCAAAAATCATTCAACAGGAAAACCCATTCAATATGCACAAGGACTTGAGCTACATATCAAGACAGACAGACAGACGGACGTTCCAACATTTTGGCTTTAGGGTCTATTTTCTCTGTTATTTTCTTTGTTTCCTTAAGGGCTACTAGCCCATAAACCCAAAATGTTTGCTCGGACAGACGACGGAGAAGTGATCCTTATATGTCCCACTTTTCCGTCGAGGCGTCACAAAAATTGCAAACTCGGTTTGATTTGAGTCTGTATTTGAGGGATAATGAAAAAGTGCAACATCTCTCATGCTATATAGCACCGGCTTGAGCGGTACTCAATTCTCAACACTTTGAAGTGCTGGAAACAATGTCCCCGAAGGACCATAAACAAATATAACAACAGTTAAGTTAAGTATGCTCAGCACAAGATGGTAAACAAGATCAACGAAAAAAGGTTGCGTTCAATGAACGCAACCCTCACACGACCCCGCAACAAGTGGCCAGGATTCCCCCAACCCCACCACCAAACAAAAAACAGGACAGGGCATAAGGCAGAGCAATGACAGGATAATCACTTCATAGACAAATAAAAGGAAATAATAGCAACTGACAAGGAAATCAATTAGTCTGGACAAATTTTGAAAACTAAAATCATTCAAGGGACATTACTCTGACAATTATCATTCAATCGAATCATTTTGATGAGATGCACAACTAAACATAGCATTGATCATTCCTGTAATGTTTTGATCAAAATGCATCTGTAGTTGCGGAAGAGCAGTCTAAACAAATAGCTTGGAACACACAAAAACACCTTTTCTACTGAAAAAGAAATAAAATGAAGTCGAAAGAAAAAAAAACGAGAAATAATTTCTTTGAATAAATGATAGAAAATGCCAATTTCTTTCTCGTCTTACAACACTGCTAGATTTCAACACTTTGATTTAAAGTAAAAACAAGTTAATTATTATAAATAAATTGTCAAATTTAAATTGTCAAACCTTCGAAGTCATAAAAATCTTCATCTTCCTTATTGAATACTTGTTCAGCATGCCGTCTGACAAACTGATCTCTATCCATTCTGAAGCAAGATTACACTATATATTGAAATGCAATGATACAAACACATTTTACAAAATAGAACCCTCACTATAACATAACGTTGATGATTATATTAAGATGATTAAGTTTAAAAGGAAGGTAAAGATAAACTAGCCTCACTTGACCAATACTTGTTTTTAAAGCATGTTCCTGGTACAATGTTAACATGGTTAAGTACCCTTGCGGATTTTTTGCTGGTCTCCTGTGTGACTGGATTATGTTGGGGTATCGTTTGTATTTGTGCTATTAACAATCATACAACTTAATTATTATGCAATAAATTCTTAGCATTATTGTCATTAAACTGACACACACACACACACACACACACACACACACACACACACACACACACACACACACACACACACACACAAATAAATTCACATTTAAAACTTTGATGTCTAGGCGAATGAGAATACAAATATTCTATTAAGAGATGACATAAGACATCTCTACAACCCCACACGTTCAGTTACATAAAAAGTGATGAAAGTTTTCATCAGTGACACAAACCTTTCGAGCAACGTAACACCAAATATAACTATTTTTCTGACAATATAATTTTAGTACCAATCAACAACAAACATCATGTCATAGGAATGAATTACACACATTTATTTACTATTGACTTTTAAATTTACATTGATTACTATCCTCAAATTTGGACCTTAACAGAGTTCCCATATGATGGTAAACGTTTTACCAAATAACACAGCAATCTAAAATACGTGAGCGGACGTAATACAACAACCTGTTTATCCAACAGAATATAGACGAGAGGAAGCACAAACATATTCAGGTAACCCTATCTGACAAAATTATACGATACTATATATAAAATTTGTTAATTTTATAAATTTTGATAAATACCAGTACATTTTGAAACCACGAAGTAGAGCATGCTTTTTTCTCGATAATGCATGTAATATACAAATAAATCACACGAAAATCAGGACCCCTACCTGAATATAGATTTCATAAGCTGCAACATCTCATATTTAGTCTCATGCCACATTGTTGCGCATGCGTATATCATAGGAGTGTCTCTGAACTTTGGGTTTTTGTAATTACTTGCATGAATGTCCTCATTTTTCTCTTTATTTTCAGCCTGGCTTGCAACGTCATCTTCTACGTCACCCTCGATATTAACTTTCGAGTTAAATTTGGACAAACTGTTAACAATAAATAAACTTGCAACGCATTTGAAAAAAAGATATAGTAAAAATCAAGTCAATGACCTACCATTCAGCGTGCCACATACAGTGCCGTTTTAATTTGAACCTGATTCGTTAAATCATAAACTTCTAATGCATAACTTTGATACAAGAATCATTTAGGACTATCGGAAGCACATAATTTGTGTTTGGTTTGATTATATTATGCACATCAAGTGAGATTTTGCTGTTTCGTACATGATTTAAAATATGTGAAGAAAATGTTGTACCTGTAAGGAACCTTTTTATCTTTTATATTCATGGAAACTATCCTTGTGTGTCGACGTCTGTTTAAAAGTAGATGCTGCTCAAAAAGAATTCCGCAATAGAATGGGTTCATAAACAATCTGAAAATCATATTTATATGCATATTATATTTGTAAACATAAATGTAAAATGTGCATTTCAAAACATAATAACATTAAAACAATACGTTGGTCTAGCAACACCAAATTATGTAGATACTTTAAAAGCATTGTATATATCAGATTTATATAATACGTTAATTTTACCTTTCGGTCTTGGCAAGTCTTTCTATTTCCGGGTAAAATATATGTCTACATAGCCAGTACAATGATATCCACACAACAGTGCCACAAATATAGTGTAAAACCACATTCAAAGTTTCAATATCTTCTCGGCATTGTCCTTTTTCCGATGTAAATGGGCTCAGCACACCTCCCCTTGAACATTCAACTGCTGCTATAGCTACTGCCAATGGTGTAGATAGTATGAGAGGAATACAAAACGAAAATCGTTGTAGCTTTAATTTGCATGCTGTGTATCCAACATAATGTCCGACAAAGGCAGACAATATCAGCGTTATTATTGCTCCGCTACGCTTTAAATCATTTTCGCTAAGCTCACCAAACGCTTCCGAAAATGTTACTTTCTCAATACGCTTATGATTATCGTCATCGTCAATGTTTTCTTCATAATACGCCTTAATAATCCATGAAAGAAGAAGGGTTGTACCGATCTTAATGAAACTGTGTACATGTTGAAATTATTGGTCTTGCTTCTTGGAGTTCAAATTTTGCCTTCAATATAGACTGTTTACAACGACCTTTTGAATTTTCTGTCCAGCAAAATCTGTCATCTACGAAATTTTCCCAATATGCACAAGAAACAAAAAGCATACTTAATATGAAAAAGACAATAGTGTTAGTTTCATTGTCTATTCTACTGTCGTCGACAAAATGATCTAACACTAAAACAGCGGAAATATATGCAAATTGCACTATTAATGTTATTATGTTTAGAGCAAAAACAGCTAGTCTGAATATGGTTGATTGGTTTGCCGCCTGATCTCGCTTGTCATCTTTTTTATTCTTCAACGCCTCCTGATCTTGTTTATCATCTTTTGCATTCTTCCCACTGCTTTTTACGTCTGAAGCACAGACAGGAAATAGAATTGATGGCACTACAGCTACGCCACCCAATAAAAGAATTCCACGGACCATGTCCAATTCTGGAAGAATGATGAACGCCAGACTACAAAGTCCGATGGAATGCATTATTTCTACAAGCAAGCACTGTAATTGAAAGAAAAACATCCACTCACTGTACATAATGAATATAAATTGAAGATAACAATCATCACGAGACGCAAAGTGTAATTGAATCACAGTTCCTACCCTTACAGTCATTTCTCACCAACAGCAACTTCCTTACGATAGCCAGTCTACCTTTACTATAATATTTTTAACTCGCGTCAACGGTCACCCCTTAACTTCGACCAACAACCATTTTTTTTTAAATGAAAAAATAAAAACAATTTCAAACGGCCAGCAAACTGGCTGCCTATGTTATTTTAACTGATCGGATTTTGCTTATGTTATCTATAATTAAACTAATACACCATGCATGGAAAGTCAAACTTCTGACTGTGAAGGACATGAGTCATGTGACATACTTGTTACATTGTTGAATTAAAGTTAAAATGAAATATGAATGCTCAGAGTAAACGTTGAACTTGCATGCTTTTTTGTTTTCTTCGAACAGTTATACATTCAATATATTGCAATCTTCTCCAAGATAATGTTAAGTTGCATTCGGGTAGTTAATTAAGCTGTAGGTCTTAATGTCCCAAGCATTTTACAATTATAAAATGGAAAATGGAGTCCGCAAGAATATAAAAGTCATAAAGTTTTACGATCAAGCTATGTTTGTCAGTCAGTACAAACAATATAATTTAAGGTATGAAAATATATATGCAGATAGGAAACACCTAAAAGGTCGTGTATTTCTAGTTTGTATGTCTCTACAACCCAACACGTTTCAATAACATTTAAGTAATTAACCTTATTCTGTGACACAAACCTACCAAGCATCAACAACCTCACTACAGCAGCCTATTTGGACTGTCCTACTGCTGGCTATGGTAAAGATATTGCAATTGATATACATTTTCCTAAACAATTTAACAGTTTCCAAATCACGTGTGGCATATACAAACTACTCACCAGTACAATCGTTGATAGGCTAGGAAATGGTAAGTTGTCAAACATCCATTTAAAGGCACTGCTTAGAAACGTCAGGCAGTAAGGAATCAGGATGGCGATGGTCAACAAAATATGTTTTGCTGCAGCTTCTTTACTAAATTTCTATTTTATTAATGGAAAGAGAATAATGTTACAAGTACATGATATTATACCAAGCTTTTGCATAACCTAGTCTAGAACACATTAGAAATAAAAAATGTCTTATCATTTAGTTCATAATTATACGTATGATATGTACAAATATGAAATTGAATTTTATCGTCCTGCTAAAATTACTGTGATTTACACTCAATATGTTTCGATGTCTTAAATGCATCATATAGATATTATAACTGAATTTCTGTTTTGGTTATGTTGTACATTATACTAACATATTACTGATATTCTTCCATATATTATTTCAGGAACAAGCCTTTCCTCATTAGAAACACCAACGTTCTATAAGCTAGCTGAATAGATTCTTTACAAAAAGGATCCAAAGTATATGGCGGGAGGTCAGCGACCTTCACTCTTTGGTGGCATTTAACCCTACAAATGGCCGTTTAAACGCATGATGTGACATTTACCTACCTTTACCTCTGACACAGAATTATCTTTTGTGCGATCAATCACTGGTGACACAAGGACAACCAAGCTGAGTTTTTGAGCAACTGCACACCAAAGGAGAATACAGAATAAGAGTATGTAAGTGACAACTTTGATCACTTGAAGTCCCCTGTCCTCATCGACGTCACGAATTTTTCTTTCCCGCGCAATTATCTGACAGACGTCCCAGAACCTAAAAAAAAGCTTAACCAACTGATACTTAAATGAAACAAATTACTTATTAAATACACATATTTTTGTGATTTCATTTATATCTTATTAATGAAATAAGTATCACGTATTCGTGTTGAAGATTGAAAACTTCTCCCGCCGTTTCAATTCCGATATTTTTCATACAGTGAGTCTAATGTTACTAATCTTAGTTTGAAAGCTGCATCTATTGTCATTTTGACTGATATCATACTTTTCACGATTTGGAATATCTAGTAAGAACTTAATATTGTCAAGACAATACTAAAAAGCCACCGCCGAGAGGGGGGAAACCCTTTAGCTTTTTTGGTATTTTTTACATTTTCTTAGAACAAACAAATAAAAAATTAAAAGAAAATCGGTCTTATCACACTTGTTGTATGAATCATTTCAATAAATAAATGACAAAGTTAGGAAAATTAAAGAAGAAAAACAATTATCTGACTTTGACGGTGAAGGTCATTTAAAGGTCATAATTAAACTAGTCAACAAGTCTGTTTTGTTTTGAATTAAATCTGTACATAAATAACTAAACTATAGTTCAATATTTTGACCTTGACGATTTAAGTGATTTAAAGCTCAAGGTAATTTTAGTCCCTTTAAAACAGCATGTCCAAATGGTTACTTTGTCCAAGTATGAAAATAATTAATTTATTAGTTAATTACAAATTTACAGCCAATTATAGCAATATTAAGTTAAAGTTCAATAATTTGATCTTCAAGGTCATATATAAATCAATGTCAATTGAGTTTTATATAGTTTATAGGTCTTCATGTAAAATATGTATTTAAGTTGCTATCATAAACATGGTCTTTATTGCATAGATATACCAGTGACTTCAAAATCAATAGGGGCGACTAACGGTCATGACCCACCTCCATACCCAATTTGACGACTGTGGGTTAAAGGATTCTTAAGATATTGGACGGACCAGCTTTTTCAAGTCAAGGCCCCTGTGACCTTGATTTTGACCCACTGACCTCACTTTAGGTAAAAAAATTCTTAAGATATTGGGCAGATAAGCTTTTGTAGTCAAGAGCCGCTTATTTATTACAAAGTCTCAATAAATTTAAGCAAAAATCATTAAAATCAAATAATTTAATCTTCAAACAAAGATCATAATGAGCCATGATCATTTACATATAGTTTGATATTTATGATGTTTGTATCTTTATGGTCAATTATGCCTCTGAAATATTATAATTCTTTTATTCTCAAAAGCTTTTTTTTATTTAGGTATTTGTTACTCATTCCAATGAAATATACATTTATATAAGCACATGATATGAATAATGCCACTTCTTCTCTTCTTAAACATGTAATATGCTCCTTATCCATTAAAACATCATTAAACATATGCTTGACATGTTAAAGAATTAAAGAAATGGATTCATAGAGCATAATATGCTTTTAAAGAATACTGTTTCTAAATATGAAGTCCATTTATCAATTACAATGTTTAAGCCAGTTACACAAAAATGAAAATATCAAAAGTTTAACCTTCAAGGTCCAGCTCATTCTGATAAATTTGAAGACCTATCTTAAAAGATTCTTGTGTTCAAGTTAAAAGACAATCCATTCTAAAGAAAGTGATAGATACAAATAGAACAATCAACTAAAATTCTGTCGATATACCTTTGAAGGTCAAAGTCATTTATAAACGAAAGTCAAAGTTATTCTAGACTTGAGAAGTGTATTTGAAGATCTTGCACCAAGGTTTGAAGTTACCAAGTATGAAAACCATACATCAAGAAATAAAAAAAAGATCTATGCTAAAGTGTGCGGACGGCAACGGCATTGTTCGGGGCAACGTGCAATTAAACGCCGACTATTACATTAAATTTTATTTTACTTAGAAAAAGAAGTCGAATTAAAATTGATAATGATAAAGTTTTCTTATGCTTACTCGGTCTTCTTTTTTTCCTTTTCATAATGTTTGTCCACTTCTTTCCTCTCCGTGTGTTCGTCATCGATATGGACAACAGGAGAAGGTGATCGAGTCGATTCAATTGATGTTCTAAATCTTCCATCATGTGGTAATGTGTCTCCTAGCTAAATCATGAATAAAGAAAATATAAGGCATTTTAATATTTACTTTATTTAACGAAATTCTATTATCCTAATTTACGACAGCACATAAGTCTAAATGCAAAAATAAATGACCATCGGGAATTTTATAAATACATACGAAGATTTTTGTAAACTAAACAATAAATATATGATAGCTAAGTACAAGCGTTTGCACAATAAAGGTTAACAAGAGCACCGCTAAACGGAGCATTGTATGCCCGAAATTGTTTTTTTGTTTTTGTTTTTTTTTTTCTTTTTTTTAAGTAAGGATGAAGCATTTGTAAGGCATTCGAATTAAATAAAGTATTACCTCCCTCAAATAGCAATCCTCCTATGAAGTTTGAATATTGTTGGCCAAATGGCACTAAAGTTATACTGCGGAAACTGTTTTCAGTTTTAAGGTAAAACTGACCTTGACCTTTGACATTGTGACCCCAAAAGAGGTCTTCTACCCAATATGGACCCAATATGGACAATCATCCAACGAAGTTTGAACACTGTTAGCCAAATGGAACTTAAGTTATGCTCTGGAAACTGTTATCAGTTTTAAAGTAATACAGACCTTGACCTTTGACCTTGTTACCCCACAATTAAAAGGGGTCTACTACCTAATATTGACAATCATCCTATGAAGTTTAAACACTGTGGGCCAAATGAAACTTAAGTTATGTTCCTGAAACTGTTTTCAGTTTTAAGGTAATAATGACATTGACCTTTGACCTTGTGACCCCAAAATAAATTGGGGTCTTCTACTCAATATGGACAATTATCTTATGAAGGTTGAATACTGTGGGCCAAATGAAACTTAAGTTATGCTCCGGAAACTGTTTTCAGTTTTAAGGTAATAGTGACCTGGACCTTTGACCTTGGTACCCCAAAATCAATAAGTGTCTTTTTGCCAATATGGATAATCATCCTATGAAGTTTGAACATTGCTCCGGAAACCAAATTGTTATCAGAGACAGTCGGACAGACGCAAGGGGATGTAACATAATATACACGAAATTCTTTCGGGCATATAATAAGGGTTAGCAGTTTTTTATAAAAAATAACAACAGAGGAATAATAAACACATGACAGTATGCACCGAAGAAAATCTAAGTCATCAAAAAAAACAAATCTTTCAGTGTGTTTGAAATTTGTCTGAACACTTTAAGTCTTATTAATTATACTTTTGATATAAAATGACATCAAGGGAATAAAATCTCAACTAGACAGTGCTAAATATGCCTGTATTGATTCTGACTTTAACAACAAAAATGTTTGGACAGAAAGGCATAATTCTACTTTTCAAGTAAACAAGTGTATATGCTTAACGCATTTAGGTTAGCAGGACTATATCTTGTATTATAAAACTATATACATTTATTTATGCCAAATAACCTTGGAAAGTACAAATTTTGATTCAAGGCTAATGCGCTATATGTCAGCATAGCTCTAGGCATTACAAACATGACTTGCCTTGTTGATCTTTATTCTCTTATTTTATAGGTATTTTCGTATGTAAGTCTGTATAGCATGTGTGGCCTTTGGGCAAAACCTTTTTTCCTATCGGGAAAATCAACTATATAAATCAAGTAGGAGGAGTACAATGTAAGACAGGGTTTAAAAATGTTCATAATTTGTTTTAAAGTTTATGTCAATTGACATTGTAGATATGGTTTTATATTTGTTAGATCTGATGATATAGAAACCGGTCGGCAGTACAAAAATTGAGAAACACTAGTGAATGTCTGTTATTTTTATTATATATATATAAACTATGAGTTTAAACTATGTTTAAAGACATGTTCATTGCATAAATTTACTTAAACGAAGGTTTGGGGCTATCTGAAATGATTGCAACATGCCAGATATTTATGCTCTGAACATCGTAGTTTCCCATTACAAGACTATTAATACTTTCTATTTAATCTATAGAAAGTAAATTGCCCTTGTAAACGAGTAAATTTCGATTTAAGTAAGCCAAAAGTAAGACAGATATATACACAACGGTTATTGAAATTCAATCCCTAAAGGAAGCCCAGGCCTGAAAACCGCTCATTTTGTCATAATAGTTCAAATTTTTAACAAGAAATCTCTATAATCACCAATCTAAACTGATTATACATATATGATAATAACGGAGGATCTTATAATGCTTAAATCACAGACCAATCTTACCCAGTACCTTTGTAAAGAGTAAACTTAATATGATATTAATATCAAGTTTTTTTTCATTTGCAAAATTTTTGTATACAACATCCTCGTGTAAAAAAAAATCGCAGCAGAGGTTCACAAGAAGAAAAGGAGTAAAATGGATGACAAAGCAAGAACAAGATTTGCTTTGCTCTGAGTACGTACTCCTGCAAATTGTCCTCCAGAGTCAAAAGGGGACGATGTTAATGATGAGTCATCCTCCGATGAATAAGAAGGGGGGTCACTATCATTTCCAGTCACTGATGTACTTAAACCTTGCCTTGAACCTTTACCTCCTCTGGAAGCACCTAAACCTCCCCTTGAAGCACCTAAACCTCCTCTGGAAGCACCAAAACCTCCTCTGGATGCACTCAAACCTCCAGTTGATATACCTAAACCATTTGGTTTATCTTCCTGTGATCAGAAAAAAGCTAACATCCCAAATTTAAACCAAAAGAGTAAAAATTTGAATATAATGGATGCATCCTTGTCAAAATACATTGTAGATTACAGAATGTTAATGAAAATATGACAGCGGTTTGATACTCTTTTATGTTTCTATCGTAAATATGTTTATTATATCACAAGAAAGTTTCCTCCTCATATATAAAAGCCAATTTACTGCATCAACACCTTAGGTCGATAGATCGCTGCTACAGAATGTAGTCATTACTTAAACGAATTTAAAGTTGCCTTTAATATATCTATTAAAATATACCAATGTTTAACCCAGTCTACTTGATTGTTATAATTTTAGTTTTACTGTTTTGACATTATCCTTTTCATTCTTCTCTTTGCGCCGCTCTTCTTCCTCTTGCCTCATTCGTTCCAATTCTTCCCGTCTCTTTCTCTGAGCTTCAATGCGTTTCTGTTCCTTTTTTATTTCTGCTACCTTCCTCATACATCTAGTAACTGTAGCAGCAGCTCTTCTTTGACGACAACGCAAAATTCGCTCAAACCAATCATTTAGCTCGATCGTCATGAATATCTGATAAGATATCGAATAAATTCAAAATCAAACAGACAAACATACCTTTACAAAACTGATTGATACTTAATTTTCACAAATTATCTTATGACATACACATAGTTTTATCTAAAAACAGTTTCAAAAGTTTAAGACATTACATTCAAATAATGGAGAGACAAAACATACCCTTGATGTACCACATCTGAAATCTCTATGGAAACTAGATGGGACTAAACGAAGAACACTTTGAGCCACGTCCGCCTGTCTTTCCAAAGGTGGAGACGGAAATAAACAACGGTATCTGAAATTATTGCACGATGCATCAGACGATGGTAGTAGAAGTATACATAATACAATTATGTCGAAATTAAAATATGACTTGCAGTAAATACAGCTACGAGCAGAACATTCTACGTTAAACAGTGTACATTGCATATTTTAAGCTATAAGTGCTGAGAAACAATTTTGCAAAAACTAAGCCATCGCATACGTTTAAATCATTTGCCATGATATTCGTTTAAACGCATGAAAGCTAATACTCTCACTGCTTTAAGATTTTATTTCGCTTACATACATACCTTGAGATAAAGTCCGTATAGTATTTGCGAACTGCAAAACCCATTTTTCTTATCTTTGCAATTTCTGCTATTCCATTGTATCGTAATTGATCTGCGACAACATTCTGGTCAAAGTTGTTTGCTGCTAGATTTGAATTGGCTTTAATGCACCTAGAGTTAAACAAAGGATGCGTATATATTGCCAATGAAAATTACATATTCAGATATAACTTGTAATTAAACGTTTAATGTCAGAACTGATAAAAGTTATTCATATGCCATATAACTTACGGTCTTACTTTTAACACTTTAAAAAGACATTTTTAAATCAACATTTTCGGAATTCATTAAAGGCTGAACATAAATGTAAAATCAAACGAATGTAAATTAAGTTAACCGTTTCAATGTTTAAATATATTTGAAAGTTATTGTTGAACAAATCTTAAAGTTTTGGACCAGTTTATATAACACCATTACTGATATGTTTATCGGTTGAATATGCAACTACTGAGAAAGGACCAGAAAGCCGCCCAAACAGCAAAGTTGAAGATATTGCAGGCTTAGTGTGGTGAGGCTTTTTCAGGTTTATAGTTGCGTGGCAAGTAAATATACCGCCCTTGTACACTAGCACAAACTTACGCCAATTCATCATATATCAACGGAACATCGTTCAACTTATGTGCTGTCCTTGCATAATATAACGCACGTAGGGGCACCTGAGGTATTTCTCCATCAGTGAAGCTTGAAAGTTTCTATATTACCTTTACTGTGTTAGTGCGACGTAAACTCCAACCAAACAAATATCTTTGGAAATGTAACATTTTATATTTAGAAACATCCTTAGATAAGCAGGTAAAGTTTATAAGACACTTAAGTCAATCTTGCTTGAAATGGGTCATTTATCTTAGCTCTTTGATTTCTTCCTTTTACTTTTTAAAGATATAGTTAAAGATATCCTACCTGACAAAAAATGGGTCTCCGTCACCCAATTTCTCTAATAACTGCATCAAAGAGTTCTAAAAGACAAATACTTGCAGGTTTATTTCATAAAGTAACGATATCTAAAATTCCGAAAAAGAGAATGATTTTTTTTCGATTTTTAACTTTGCTCTGCCTTTAGGCCTTTTGTTTTTGATCGGTGCCTGGCAGGATGTCTCGAATATGGTCTTGTGAGACTGGGCGTAGTTCAAAGCTGTGTTTTACGAACATAACTCTCCCTGATGTCTACTTATGCCATCATTACTATTTTAAGGATTAAAAGCCTGACGCTACATGAAATGTACAATTATCAATATTTAAATATACAGTGGCGGCATGGGCGAGTGGTTAACGCATCGGACTTGTAATCCTAGGATTGCTGACTGCATTGGTTCAAACCCTGTCAGGGGCAAACCGTTGTTTCCTTGGGCAACAAATTTTGCATTCATTGGAAGGTACCAGGAACGAATTCGAGTGTTTCAATAAGCTTAAAGCTTCCAACACAATCGAACTAAAATAAATATGTATTAACTAAATATTAAGTTCGCAAATAATAAGAATTCAAAACTTTTACCAAAGAAACTATAATCTTTAGCTGTCTGATCAAAGATATCTTCTATTAATTTGCTAAGTAAAAATTCTGTTTTGTAGGAGAGTGCAATATTTAGTAGAAATTTCAATTTAAAACAAATCGAATACATTACATTTAACCATACATTCAATTTATTTACCTGGAAAAATGAAACAAGCGTCGAATGTTTCTTTCCAGGAGTAATCTGTGTCAATTCCTGTGGCTGGCTGTTGGACTGTCCCAAACTTCTTCTTCAAACTTTTGCCTATTTCCATTGCTAGAGCCGCTCCTGCCGGTGTTGGTTTTAGTTTGGGCTTACCTGGAACCATCACTGGTACTCCACGCCGAGATGGTCGAAACTGAAAACCTGGTTCCCTAAAATAGGAGATTATTATTTAGTTCCCTACCAATTGTACAGTTTCGCAGATTTACTGAATTTGTTTATGTACATTATTCTAACTGGGGAAAAAAGTAAATTGTTATTGTAAATATCGGCATGAACATTTATTTAAAGTTTAATCATATCCATATAACTGACTGACATTCTCAACTCATTCACATTCAGATTGAATGATAATATATCTTGAAACAAATTGATCCCTCGGAATCATTAAAAAACAACAAAAGTACATGAAAATTTCAGATTCAGCTTGATTGAGTCTGTACATGTACATAAAGTCTTTTTTAATTAATTTTGCATACCGAGTAAAGTAGTAAAGTAAAAAAGTTGAATCCCTAAAGAACGCCGTAATAAAACGACAAAACTTGGCTCTATGTGTAAAGGTGGTCGTTTCAATACGTCAAAACATTCACTCTGCGTTTGACTGTTTGATGACCTTTTTGCATGCCTCCGTCGCATTTGAACAGCAAGCGGTCAAATATAAGTAAGTTGAGTATTTATAGTCTTAATTGCACAGGCTTAACTTATTTAATGATAAATAAACTTTTGAAATGTCGCATACATTGATATTGTTCCAGTAGGTCCTTTTTTAATTGTGAATAGGTCAGCAATGAAGTCATCTTTGCTTTCCCTCATAGTCTGAACAAGTTCAGCATTCAATCTGTCTCGGTTCTTCTCTAAAAATCCGTCGGCGTTGTACGGAACCTTTATTTTACAAACATTGTTATTACATTTATAGGACTGAGAACGAAAATGATTTGTCGTAGCATGGAAATTATTATTTGTAAAACAGACATTCTAAACAAGCAAAATGCATATTTATTTTTGTCGATTCAATGACATAGCAATGTTTACAAAATGGAACAATATATAACCTTCTTTTCATTTTGTATCTAAGTTTCCTCTACATCAGGAATCATTATATAAAAAGTGCAGAAAACAAAGGTGTAATTCAGTATTCTTGCTGGTGTATATCAAGGTTCTTTTTTCATCAAGAGCTGAAGAAAGTGTGTCAATATGCTGATGTTTTAAACAAATAATTTAGAATGTAACCATAATGACCTTTTCTAAGGGCATTTAATAATGTTCTGACAATTTAGCATTATTTTGAAATGTGGCATTTTTTTAAAAAACAAATACGACATGACACTACTTGACAACTTACCAAAGCTGCAAAATGCTGTATACAGAAAACTGGGTGGTCTCCAGGTGGTTGTATGAACAGTTTATTTTGGCCCAATTTATTTTTCAAGTGATCAACAAATCCACTATCGGAAGAATGCTGTATGTTGGAATTCTCGTCCAGTATTGCTAGAATACCTGACTTTGGCTGTAAATAAAGAAATAACCACAATAATTAGAAGCGAGTTACTTAAAGATTTCCGATGATTCTATGGGAATAAAAGGTCACGAAAAGTCATATGCCTCCAGCTTATCATGTCGTAAACCCATATCTTCTTCCTATTCTTCTTCTTATAATTATTATTCAAATTATTTTCAATATGTTTGTTTACAGAGTAGCGTTGTTGTTAATTGTCTTCATTTAGCTCCACTGAGGTCGTTAAAGCATACAGTAAATACATAGAATTTGAAGATCTTACATGGATCAACACGGAAAAATTATTAAAAAAATTATGCAGAATAATAATCATAACAAAGTTCAATATCGTTATTTACTGATACTCAAAGCCTGATTATAGTAAAAGACCTAAAAAAGGTTATTTAAATTTTTAGGTCATTTTCGACAATGAAAAAAATTATTGAAAAATGAAACGGAGTGAGCAAATGACCTGAAAAGTTGCAGACAAGTTGGTATATATACACCTACATAAAATGGTATAAGAATGTCAAAAAGAATACATGCATCCAGGCCCGTTTCTTTAGAAGACATTGTAAAGGCTACTAATGCATGGTTTGATAATGGAAAAAAATTGAATATGGTATAAAGTTTTAATTAGTGGGTTTTTTTTTTACCGTTTCAAACATTGCCAATAAATCGTCATTGTTTTCGAAATGTATCCCATCAAGTTCCACTCCCTCAGCATGGTATATTTCTAATTCCATCGTAAAGATCTTTTTGTTCATGAAACTTTGAAGTTTTTCGTTCACTAGATTTATACACAACTGTTCAAAGCTATTATTCTGAAGCTTTTCAAAGCCGGCAATATCCAAAATTCCGATGCTAGCAGATATGTTTGATCTAGAGGCAAAAAGAAGTGTTGACAGTGTTCTGTTCAAAAATGAACTTGTGAGTTTTATCACTTCTTCACCAAACTTAAAAAGTTTTAAAAGTATGTATTTCCCATCTAAAACTAACATAAATTGATCTCAGACAATCAAATTAAAACAAAACAAAATGAACCAGTAATTATCTGTCCATAACAAACTAATCCTTACATGTGCCTTTAAGAACTACACTTTTAGTGACTGCATGATATTTTATAAACAATATCGCCTTACAGCTGTAAATGGTAAAGCTACGAGATAAATTCCAAGTTTATTTTTGTAGATGAAACCGAAAAGACAAAAGACTTACCCATGCCTGTTCGGGTGAAGATCTCTGTTTATCATTCTTACCAACCAGCCGAACATTCTTTCATACAACATCTTGGCAAGCGCGTCACGTCCGTCATTTGCTTGTTTTGTTGTTTTATGAGTTGCTATATAGTCACCTAAATTGAAAATAATGTATAACAAAAGTTGCCCGAAAGACTTGACAATTTTCAGTGCTTAGAAGTGGACCTATTGGTAACATTATCTGCATAAACGTCTATGGATTTCGCGTTGGAATATTAAAAGAGTAACGAGCATGTTCACTTATGTGGAAATGGCCTTCGGAACATACAAAATAATATTTTTTTCAAATGTGAAACGTTGAAAAGCCGATTAAACGATTTATATTTTAGCGTCTAAACGTCAAGGGCGTTCGTTTCCGTGAGGTTAAGGTTGAAGACTTCAATCCACAGGTCCCTAACCGTTGAGGGCACGAAACCTCCGTCCAAAGAGCTTTTGGATTCTTAAATGTTAAGAGGCTATCAAACTACATTTAGAAAAGTCAATGGTTCAACTCATGTGCTCGTGTGCAGCTGAGGTCATCCTTCACCAGTAAACCTAGAGAGTCTTAAAAGGGAGCTAGTAAACCTAGAGAGCTTCAATGTGTTAGTGGGAATAAAAACATTCACCTCTAACTTTCTTTTGACTTGTAATTAGCGCCTCGCCGAACATGATTTCATCAAGATCTAGCAATATAGCGGCTGCAAAATAAAAAATGATTATTCCATCAAAACAACTAATTTATTGTCGTCAACCAATTGTATTTTCAGTCTTATGTTAGTCATAAGATGAAAAGTGTTACAATATACATGCAATAAATTATATCGATTTTTCCTTATATGTTGATTAATGGAAACAGACAAAGAACCGATTTAAGGTCAATGCAGGAAAGAATAAAGTAGTTCAATTTGATTAATTTCCTACAAGGGCTTATCAAATGTTTTACTTTTAACTGTGACTTAGACGAACTATTGAAAATTAATTTGTAGATTATGTTGGGATAATAGGCTTGAATAGTTACCATGAGCAAATGAAGCAACATCCTTTAATTGTGCAGCCCCTCTGTTGTCTTCTTCAAACTCTATCTCCGAAATGAGTACAACCGCTGCTAACATTCTAATCACAACATCGTTCTCCTGAAAAAAGGCATTTGTTTTGAATGATATCATGAATAAAAGGCACTTTCCTGTCATTGTGGTAAATTTTTCGCGTCCAATGATTACGACATGTAACGGGGCATCTATGCAAGCCGCCATTTTTGTATTTCAAATACAGTCACAGTGGCCATGACAAAAATGTACAAAAATGTATATAAATAAGGTTACAATTAAAAATAGGTGGCTTTGACGCGGAATGTGAAATAAAAAAGACACTTGCAAAAAGGTAGTTAATCTAACAATGTATGGCATCAGGAAAACTAAAAGGGTACAAATGTACATCTATAGCTATCTATATAATAGAAAGAGCATCGAAACACAAGGCTATCTGATTTGTAAAAGGGGGCGTAGCCCTCGAGTATAAATCAGATTGCCGAGTGTTTTGATGTTCTCTCTCTTTTGTTTCATAGTCAAACATAAAACACGTTCCTTGATACCACAATATGCAACCCCACAAAAAAGTAACCAATGAACGAGCATATAAATATGATATTTCAATCGCTATCCCTACCTATGTCGTCACAAAATGTAATTAATCAATGGGCATGCTCTGGAGTGCGGTTAACTAATACCTGCACTCCAGTTAACGCACTTTGCATGTATATGTATACGATTTAACTCTGTCACATTTTCAATGGAAAGGCCCCCAAATTATGATACAAGATTTAAATCGATTTTATCTGTGTGGTTTTTAAGTTATATATCTATTTGGTGTTTTATTCTGTTCTAACTTCTACGAGGATTTTTATATCCATCAGGGAATACATGTGTTTACTTACAACTTCAATTTTTTGCAATATCTCCATACTGTCATCATACATCTTCTTAAACCGTTCTGTTTCACCAAGGTAAGACTGATCGCTCTGCATTATTCTAAATGTAAGATAATAAATAAATTGAAATCACAAACGAAACAATCTAACAACAATATTACAAGACAATTGACAATTCTATGGAATATTGAAATTAATAATATAGATATATAACATCGGAAAGAAATTCAGGTGTTCGTATTTATTCTTTACACAAAAAGACACTAATGTCTTTTTTTGTAGAAAACTAGTACCTCATGCTTATTCGCTGTTTATTTGTTGTTTATTTTTGTTCTTGTTTTCTGGCTATATAATGCAAAGGAAACCATAATATGCAAATTATTAGTATTCAATATGAAATGATATGACAATATGTAGATGAGGTACCAATAGAAATGATAAAACAAGCATAAAACTGACTGATAAGAGAAACTTTGAAAATACAGAATAAAATAAAACAAAAAAATCAATACTTGGAAACAGGTTTTACGAATTAATTTCTGGATCAACCATAGTATATAACAAACCACTCAACCAAACTATGAAAGTTTTTTCACCTGTAACTTTCTACTGGGTCATTCAGAAAGAGGTCATCAAGGACTTCTTGCGTGCATCCAGCAAACATTGCGTAGAATATGTGAAAGTTTCTCTCTCCGTTATTTTGATGAACTACCCTGGATTTCTCTAACATGTAGTCTCTAACGCCCGCTGATTTAATAGAAAGAAAGATCAAGCGCAATTCCTTTTACTTTTAAATTATCATCTACTGCACATATATTATAATTCATGAAAAGTGAAAATCATTTTATAAATTGACAGTAGCCGTGTACATCTTTAAATATATAAACGACAAATTCACCTTAGAAAATCGAGGTTAGAAACATTCATTATTAAAAATGTATCATATGGGTAACAGAATAAAATGATTTACTAATAAGCATATAAATAAAGGTGGAGATGGAGGGGCAAATTCATTAGAATAAAATATTTTACATATTGTATCAAAATTTTCAAGAGAGATTTTAAATCAACCCTATTTTTATCAGCCAAAGAATTTTTCTACTGACAGAGATCAACAAGGCAAGAGAACGCAGCCCTCGACACAACCAAGTCACACTGGCCGGGTACCCCGAAGAGCACTGTACCAATAAATGACAGTAAGCATAAGTTGGGAAAAGGAAGTGGAGGGACTAAATATATCAATTATGTCACAATAATTATAAATGACACCAAAATGACAATAACATATATTGTAATAATCACCTCCTGCGAGTTCTCCACCTTCTTTGAAGGTGATTTCCAGGTATTTTGCGTATCTACTTGAGTTGTCGTTCATTATTGTTTTGGCATTTCCAAAAGCCTCCAGTAGAGGGTTGATCTAGAAATATTACTGAAGTTCTAAATTTTACATTTATTTAACAAGACTAATTATTTTACAATGGTAATCGAGATGTTTGATTTTATAACTATTATTTGCATTTTGATACTTTTGATGTTACTGGTCGAGTCACATTCCTACCCCATTTTCCAACTTCAAGCAGTTAATTCAATTGAAAATCAAATATTGTTGCTGTTTTTTTTTCTTTTCTTTCTGTAATTATTGTGTTTTTATGCATTTTGATCATTATTATATGTAACATCCTTATGAGTATGCCGCAATATGAATTTATATCTACCCATTCCCCTCAATGATGTAGGTTCGAATTATGCCAGAGACTTTTGATTCTTTCATGTGAGGAAGCTATCCAGCCAGCGTTCACAATCAGTTCACCTTGTACGAGTCATAATATGAGCTTTACTTTGTTTGTGCGACGTAAAACCCAAGCAGAAGCAAAAGAATAAAATTAAAAAGAAAATCATCCATGCTCACAGACCAGAGCATATCTGTACATGTACCTTGACGATTTTTTCATGTAAAACCATATCTCCTTTCTGACACATGTGTACCATATGTTTGACCATATACTTTGTGCTCTCTGTCTTGCCGGCTCCACTTTCCCCGGAAACAATGATGACCTATATACATGTTTACAGGAAAAACAATTATAAGGAAACAAATTTCATAATGCAAATAAATTTTTATACTAATTAAATAACACATTTTTGTATCTTACAGAAGTAGAGCTACCGAATCGTAGTTAGTAAATAGATAATATAAGTTCTGATAAAACTATTTACCACATTTCATGTTACACAATGGAAAGTATTGTATCATTTGATCACGCAAATATTTGGCTGGAAAACAGTTTACATTTAATAATCAAATATTAACAAAAAAGCATGTCATAATTTAAGCCACGGATGCTGCCATAAGTGGAGGCACAATCGTACCGTAAATAAATGTCACTTGATAACACCCTGGTGAGAAGGTAGGTGTCTTGTTAATGTTTTATATTGTAAATATTCAGCATTAGACATAAAATCGTATAAAATCTTTTTCTTTTCTTTTTTCATTTTTACATAGAGTTTTATTTTCTTTTATATTTTTTGATAACATAATGGCAATTGAATACCTGATTCGTGTCATTTTCACGCATGCGTCTGTATGCTGTTGCGGCGACTTGAAAAATATGCGGCTCTAAATCTGTTCCGAATTTGTCAGCATTGTATTTATCATGGATCTATTGAAAAAAGTACAAAATGTTTATTTTTTCGCATGGCTTATTCGTCATAAATATTGTTAACAGTAAATTTCTTTCGTTGTTTATTCATAATGAATTGGCATTGCGAACATAGACCGGATAACTATGGTTATCAAATGTCCTGACAAAGAACCGACACTTATTGGAGTTTGTTGTTCTTATTCTTGTCCGAGGAACGAATGATAATGAATTTTTGTCACTTTTTTGAAGCTGTTAAGCTTTTCAGTCAAGTGTAACATGAATGCACGATAATTCACACAGTATATAAACAAAATCACCACATCCTGTCTTAGGAGCAAAACAATTAAATGTGTAGCTTTCTTGAAATTTAAAGCACATGTTAAATCCGATCATTGTTCCTTTCCTTGGAACTTTTTTTTTTAACTTGAACCTTTTTGTGATTACAGGAGTAGTCTTGTTTATTTTCTCGTGTTGTTTTAATGTAACACAGTGGGTCAACGGAATTACTGTATCATTTCTTGCAAACCTATACAATTCAGTGTGTGCCGTGTCTTTCTGCTATTTCCGATCACTTTCTTGGGTGACTTATAATATGTGTCATATGTTGCAGTTCAGATCGAATTATCTGTCCCATTGGGCGGTAACGAGGCTTCCGATATAAACCTCAAGCATATATCATATTCTATCATATTCCATCATACATTGAATTCTTTTATTAACTTAAAAAAAAATTTCATGGAAATTTATGTCATTACATTCGTATCTATACGGGTATTCTATATTATTACCAAAGCATATGAAATACAACTTCATTCATAATGGCGAAATTACGTCATCCTAAGCATGCCATTGTATTGTACGCGGCTTATCTGGCACCCCCATGCCAGATATAATTTCAGGCATTTGTAAAACTAGTTCATTAAGTTCATTAAGGTTATGGTAATCGACTGTATCATAGCTTGGGGACCTTTCTGCTGAAAAAATGAGTCAGAGATAAATCGTATACATATACATGCACAGTGCGTTATCTTGGGTGCAGGTATTAGTTACCCGCACTCCGGAGCATGTCCATTGATTGGCTCATTTTTGCTGGGTTAACTTATTGTAACGGCATAGAAAGGGAAAGCGATAGAAATATCATATTCAGATGCTCGTTCATTGGTTATTTTTTCTGGGGATGACAACAGGGAATGTGTTTTTATGTTTGACTATGATACAAAAGAGAAAAAACATAAAAACACTCGGCAATCTGATGAATACGGGGGATTACGCCCTTTCGTACAAATCAGATAGCGTCGTGTTTCAATGCTCTTTCTATAACTAAGAAAATATTGAAATATTGTATGTTCTATTGATTGGTAACATAAAGAGAACATAAATCATGTACCTGAGAAATAGATAAATGACATCAACGTGTTGTTAATGTCTTTAAACAGTTAAATATTATTGTTTTAATATATGAGATTTGAAGATATACATTTTTGTGTGGTGTGTAATGATGTATCGGTTAGCCAGGTGTTTCAGTTACAAGTTACAATTTAATATTGAATGTTTTTATTTGTTTTAATTAATGTGACATAATAAACTGAAGAAAAGCGACTAATCCCCAAGAGCATTTTTATTAGTTTCTTGTCAAATTAAAGGTATTTTTGACTATACACAAAATGGGTGTATCCCTAAGGAATAATGTACACTCTAAAATGATTGTTTAGATCTTTATCACCAAAAATTTTAATAATTTTCCTTCATTTGTATAAAAGGCAAGCAAACGTTATCAGAAACCAGAGACGAGGTAAAGATTCGATTTTAGATTTAAAAAAATATATGTGTATTGTTTGAAAACACTAATTGGTACAGTTATTATTGTGTTCTTAATATAAATAAAGGATCTATATTATAGATATAAATTATGTTTTCCTTACTTCATGTAGTAAATCATTTTATTTTTTCCGAAATTATGTGTACATATGTATACCCTTTGCACGGATTGGTGTAGACCGTTTATACATGAAAAGATAAATATATAGTCAAACTATCATGATTTCTTAAACAATATTGATAAAGAAATCGATATTTACGTTTCGGTCCTTGCCTTCAGTCTTTGGATAAAGAGATAAGGACATCAAACACAATAGTAAAATACACAGAGCGAATACGTTATTTCGGTGTTTTTGATTACATGTTAAACCACGTGGTAAAACTTCTTTCAGTCCGTATTACTTCCGAGGTGATTATTGATAATAGCCAAGATGTCCCGATTGAGAATGGGCAAGTTCATTTAAGAATTTCAGCAGGGTAAGGATTACAAAATGCTGTAAAGAAATTTTTCATTACAAACCTCATCGTCATAAATCTTCAGCTGCTTGCGGGGGTTGATGGCAATTAATATGTCACTTATGTTTGTCTGAAAGAAGAAGAACAGCATGGTCAAAGGCAACAGCATTCTTTGGTTTTAGGTTTATATTCCATTTTATTTACGTTAAAAGATACAATATATTTGGCAAAAGGATTGTTTGATTTTGTATAGTAAGAACAAGAGAGTCAATAGACTACAGTCTGTAAAAAACACTGCGAAAAATATACTGATATACGGGAATATACGGTCCCGTATTTTTGACATATACGGGCGTGTACGGGATGTATTCGTCGAATATACGGACCAAGTATACGAGTCCGTATAGGGAACACCGGGTATACGGGAAGTCCGTATATGCATCAGGC